GCTCTGAGAGCCGCTGATATATAATGATCTGAGCATTAGAGTGTGATTTTGGAGCCCAGGATTTAAATCCTTTCTGACTTATTGGGTGACATTAGGCAAGTCACACTCTCTAAGCCTCAAGAGAAAGGCACACCTCCTCCCAACAAATCTTGCCAAAAAAAACCCCACTTTTCAGTAGTCACCATATGACTTGAAGACACTCAACAACAACTGTTCACTGATGGCAGTTTAGAAAAGACACTCTTTAGCAGTTTGGAGCATAGAATAGACTTTACAAATATACAATGGAAATGTGACTGGAAGGAAAGGGAAACTTAATCAGCTTCCAAAGCAATCTTATTTTTCAGCACAACAAAAATCCGAAGTTGCAACGTATGAAAAATAAGGCAGGCAGAAACTCTAGTTCAGTAGTTCTCAACCTGTGGGTCTTCAATGTTTTGGCCTTCAACCTCCAGAAATCCTAAAAGCTGGTAAACTGGCTGGGATTTCTGGGAGTTGTAGGCTAAAACACCTGGGGACCCACAGGTTGAGAACTGCTGCTCTAGTTATTGGGACAAAAAGCTCAAATGGTTCCTCCATGTAAGAACATAATAAATTATGTTTGACAGATGGTGCTAGACTTAGTTCCCACCTTGAAGAATTGGAGATTTGCAAGGTTTTCATCCTTATCTGCCAAAGAGCGTTTGTGCCTCGCCAAACTACCCCTCTCATGAGTCCATAGCATTAAGACATGGCAGTCAAAGTGGCGTTAAATGGGATTAATTTTACAGCATAGGAGCACTCTTATGGCAATCTTATTTACTTTAGAGTGTATTTGGGGTAAAATGGAGGAGGTGGTATTAAAAATCTGAGCATGATGGAGAAAGTAGCCTTGTCATGGTCTTCTGCTTATTAGCCGAGGATCAGCTTATTACTTATTATCTTGAGGAAAGTACAAAACTCAACCTAATGTTTAGAAAGGAGTGTACAGAAACCAATTTTATCAGTAGTATTGTTGGCAAAAGTGGTGGTGAGTGTCCTGTCATGACAGAGACTTGGAACTGTTTTTAAGTTGTTGTGGGAGGTCAACCTTAGCAGGCAGGTTTTTATTAACTTGTGCTTTTGGAAGAAAGAGCAAATTATTTCCCCGATCTATTGAAATATCCTTCAGTTATGACGGTTCTTACAACCACAGTGTATACTTAGGAACGTGCTCCATGAGTAGAGCTGGGCCTTCCATTCAGATATAGATTTATCTTGTTGTAAGAAATATGGGTTTTTCAGCTACAGAGGTGCTTGATACACAGGAAGAAAGCACAGGTGGCAATATCTGTATATTTAAAACATGGCAGTCAATCTGCTCTATGAGAGGAGAGGGATTAATGCAACTCCAAAAACGGACCTCCGGCAGGAAAGGTCTGCTTGTTGGTGCTGTGTAAATGCAGTGCCAGTATTTCTGACATGGGGTTGAATCTATGGGCAGGTGAGAAGCATGTGGTCTTGGGCAATACAAGGGAGAGAACAGCCTCCAAAGAAATAAAACATAAAACAAGCAAAGGTTTACAAAATGGTACAGCCTTGGTATTAGAATGAGAGAATCTGATGTTTGGTATGTTTGCTTTTTATGGGCTCCTTGCCCACTGCGTACATACCAGTAGCACAGTGGAGCTTCGTGCAGCCTTTACAATGCATCTTGGTGTAGCAAGGCATTTATGCATAGGTGCAGAAGATAATTCACTAGTAATTGTTTGTGAATGCTCTTATCCAGTGGTGCAACAAGAGTCATGAGTGAAGTCTAAACATTAGCCAGAGAGAAAAGCCATACTTCAACTGGAATGCCTCAGTGGGCATTCCAGTTGAAGGAAATAGCAATGTGTTCCTTCCCCTATGTCATTTTTTTAATGTGAACACTAGCTACCTCCTCACACTAGAGAATGAATCTACTTTAAATCCGGTTTCTGCCTCTTGCGGAATTCTGGGGTTTGTGGTTTAGTTACAGGCTCCTTCCTAAACTACAAACCCCAGAATTCTGCAGGAGACAGAAACCAGATTTAAAGTGGATTCATTCTCTAGCGTGATGAAGTAGATGGTCCAGGACACACCTGTCCTCCGTGGATACCAAAATCTGTCAGTGCTGATGCCTCATTATATACAATACTTTAGTAAAATTGGATTCCTTTTATTAAATTGTAAAATTTAGGTTTCTTTTTCGGAGTTTGGGGAGAAGAGGCTGTTTTTAAGCTGTGGATGATGGAATCTGTAGATACGGAGGAGTAACTGTTTATCATATGGAAAAGGTTGTTCACAGCTAGATAGGTGGAAAATGTTAATCCAGTACGAGCTCAATATTGTGACCTTAAAAATGAGTACACCCAAGGGCTAGATCTATTAATAGAATGTACATTTTTAGTGCAGGAAACAACCTTTTGTTGGGTTACTAGCATTTTGATTGGTTATGCGTTGCTGCTACCAATTTACTTTGAACAATGAATTCCAGTATTTTGATTTTTATCCTCTTCCCTAATCACAGCTGGGTTTTTTTTAATGTTGCCCATTTATCTCTGTATTTAGTAACTTTTCTTCCTCTTTCTTGTGGTTTATTAAATTTTATTTGCCTTTGCAACCTATGCTGTTTGAAATACATACTCCTATTAGCAGTAGGAAACCTATGATTTTCCAGATGTTTCTAGGCTCCGGTTCCCATCAACTGTAGTTAGCATGGGTGGGATTCAACATCATTTGGAAAATTACAGGTTCCTCATTCCTCTGTTATGTAATTCTTTGGGATTCTTTTTTTTAATAACCTGGTTAATTTGCAAGATCATGTGGTCACTCTTGGCTGTTAATATGTGCTGTATTTCTCTGTGTTCTGTTCTCATCATCCATAGCTTTGTCATTTTGTATTTTCTTTATTTTATATTAATTATCTAAAAATATACTGCATTTAGAAAGAGTGTTGCTGGGAAATATATTTCAAAGTTGGCTTTTTAGAATGACTGGGTTAACTGAATCACTATTCTTTGCTACCATACATATATTCATTTCCAGGGATCACATTTGGTTTATCTGGCATAAGATTGCAGGCTATGTCTGGGCTGGGAATGAAATAGTTACTACAGTTGAGATGAGAAAGATATTAATTGTCCAGAGCTGTATTTACTCTTGCAGTTCTTACCAACACTTTAGGCAGGATTTGATCTGTGTAGTGTCATGCATTTGAGCAGTTCTGTGTTGCAAGTTTATTTTGTGCAGAGGTGCAGCATGTTGCTTCCAGGCCAAAAACCTTTTCTTCTACATTTTGCACAAAATGCTTATTCTTCTGTGGTTCATAGTATCTTAAAGGGTATTTACTCTAGTAAAATACTGGTCTACAGAAAAGGACCTTTGCTGGCAGGATGTTCTTTGTACTTATGTTCTAATTCGTTCTTTTTTCTGACATTCAACAGAATCTGAGTTATGAAGCATAGTTTACATAGGACAGCATTATTATGAATAAATGATTTTGTATTCATGACAATATAGGTATAAGTGATCCTTGCAACCCTACCACTAAAATCTTAAGACTTTGATATCCCAATGTTTCCATTTTGGAGCTGAGACGAATGAGTCTTTCATAAATGGCTTTTTCCTGAGCTTAACTTTAGCTCCAAAGGGCAACCACAAATGCTGGAGGACATCCTTCTGGGTGCAGTCACCTGCTCAGTTCTGACATGATCATTGAAAGGCTATAGTGCAGTGGTTCTTAACCTGTGGGTCCCCAGGTGTTTTGGCCTACAACTCCCAGAAATCCCAGCCAGTTTATCAGCTGTTAAAATTTCTGGGAGTTGAAGGCCAAAACATCTGGAAACCCAAGGTAGAGAACCACTGCTATAGAAGATGAAGTGAAATGGGATCGGTCCATAGAAAAATCAAATGTATTTATAAGAACACAACAGGAAAATGCAAAGATCTCTTAGTAGTGCTGGTAGTTACCAAATATCTATTTTGTCATTTTTAGCACACCTTCCCTCAAAGATGCCTTTCTCGATCCGTTCATGCATTTAGTTGGGGAGGAAAAAATGGAAAAGCACCAGGAAAAGGAAGAGGGAAGGAGGAAAAGTCTAGATATGCTGTCAGAAATATATTATACCCAGTTCATTTTGGAATAAATCTCTCTTAATGGAATTGCTTGAATAATGTCTATAACTTCAGGGTAGATTAAAAAAAGGAAAGCACATGGTTCATATTTGCTTTCGGAGTACCAGATGTTGCCAAAGTGGTTTCTGATGTACAACGAAGTCCAATTTCACAGTGAAAGATATATAGCCAAGAAATTCTCAAATTATACTGGGTAGATCGATTTCCAAAGTCATTACAAACAGGTGAATTTTGAGGTTAGGCGGGCTCAGTGCCAGGGCATCCTGAGAGTTGTAGTTTTATAAGGACTTAGCTGCCAAAGGGAAGTGGTGCTTCACCAAACTCTCAAAATTCCATACCACTGAGCCATGGCAATTAAGTGATGTTAGACTGCATTAATTCTGCAGTGTAGATGCACCCTGAGTCTTCATCCTCATATGCCACTGAAGTAGAAGACTTTTCTGGAAAGGCTTATGCCAGCAACCTCATTTATCTCAGTCTCTAAGATGCGACAAGAATCCCCTTTTGTAATGTAGAGATCATATATCACCGCAACATCACTGCTCGCTGCATTTAGAATCTGGAACTTGAGTTGAATTGTAGCCATCCTATAACCAACCTATGGACTTAGGATGAAAATTCCCTTCCTCATGGTTGTAGACCACATTCTAAAGTGACTACATTGCTTGCCTTTTTTATATACACCCTCCCTCCTCCAGTATGTCTGTTCCCCTTGGCCCTTTTTCTTCTTAACAATGCTTTTTGGCTTATGTGCATGAGTTTCCAATTTATTTATTTCAGTTTGTACATTTGGCAGCTTTATCAGACTTACTTTTGTCATGATACCTAATATCGAATATAAGAAATGTGGTTCCTCTCTTACCCACCTATCTTCTCCTCGGCAGGTGCCTCGACCATCCCTTCACCGCCTCCACCACCAGCAGCCCCATCCCTTCCTCCAAATCTGGATGTGCCAACACAGTCTGACCCTGTTAACAGCACAAGTCGGGGTGCCTTACTTAGCTCCATTCAGAATTTCCAGAAAGGAGCTTTGAAGAAAACAGAAACCTGTGACTACAGTGTCCCCAGAATCAGCTGAAACTGTTTGCACCAAGTCGTCTTGGACACACTTCCCACTTGTGTTCCAGAAACAATTTTTTCCTATAACAACTTGATTTAGACTCTGCCTGGTGGTTTCCTTGTTTTACAGCTGCCTGTTTAGAGCCATTTCAACCCTCCTCCCCACTCTGAGCGACATTTTTGAGTAGCAGTGCTATCTCAGATGGCATCCTCCAAAATGGCCAAGTGTCATTTCTGTTTGAAAAGAATTTGTACTCCTTTATGGAATCTTGTTTTTGGTAGGTAGGATTCCTCTTAATAGAAAAAAATAAGAAAAAATGCAAAAGCTCCACGATGACACGGTTCATTTGCTGAAGCCTGTTTTCACGGGCTTCTGAAAGGTTAACCCCTCTACACTGATGTGTGTACATTGAGTGACAAAATTCACTTAATCTGAAAACTGGCAAGATGCTTAAGTCTTCTGCTCTCCCTGCAAAACACCGAGTCAGTCCATGAAATTATTCCAATATTGTTAGAATACGACAAGAAGACTGTAGTTCTGCAAGTTAATTGGATCTGGGAATTAGCTTGGTGTATTGAGCTACTTTATACTTAATAGAGGACTTGCAGGGTATTTCCCATCAGACCAGTTGTAGCATCAGTGTGAGGCACGCTCTTGAGCTAGGAGTTAGCAGAAGAGCTAAATGTCCTAATGTTTTAGTGGGGGGAAAAATCCCTTTCCTGATTTGCTCAAAACCTTAAATTGCACTTTAAGGATTATTAGTAATCCATTTTTAAAATCATGTATACATCAGTGTTTGTTGCTATGCAGAGAATGTCATTGTGTAAAAGAGTTCATGTAACCTGTGATATACTCAAGTCATATTTTTATTAAAATAAATGTCAATAGAATTTCAATGGCGCTTGAATAGAACCAGTGATATGTTTCTGTGGGGAAAGCAAGTGATTCAGTACATCCCAGCCACCCCAGTTGAAAAGTAGAGAGTGCTTTTCCTGCATGGCAGGGTGTTGAACTAGATGGCCCATCTATTCTCTTCCAACACTATTCTATGAGAGGGGGAAACATTAATCTACAGTGAAAAAAAGTAATATTAATTATATATTTTCTCCTTGTGGCAGTAGATTTGTCATGTGTATACCTATAACATGAATGGGTGCAGGTTTTCCACCAAAATTGTACCACACTCTGGGCAATATATACTTGTGATCTTCTACCTTATTGAATTGCCAATAGCCGGTGAGTTATTGTGTAAGTCATGGAAGAAAATTTACGAGTACTTTCTCCTAAATTGTTTTGAATAGCCTGTTTTGATTTTAGATCTCACTTCCACCTGGATAGATATACTCAATCGTTTTGTTAATTTTTTATTTCAAACATGATAAGTTACAAAGAAAGCGCAAGCCGAGTCTTGATAGACTGCAAATCAAAGGAAGCCTGCTCATGTACAATGAGAAACAAAACTTCTTACAATGAGTTATTTAGCTACTGAATATTATTATAGTTTTAGATTTAAGCCTGTTTGTTTCCTTATTGAAAGGATGAAAAAACAGTATGTCCTGTAACAGATCACTTCCTTCCATGTATTGTCGAAGGCTTTCATGGCAGGAATCACTGGGTTGTAGTTTTGGGCCGTATGTCTATGTTCTAGAAGCATTCTCCCCTGATGTTTCACCTCTCACAACCTCTGAGGATGCCTGCCATAGATGCAGGTGAAACGTCAGGAGAGAATGCTTCTAGAACATGGCCATACAGTCCGAAAAACCTACAACCCACTTCCTTCCACATTGCCATCCTCCCCATGTACTATACAAGGTGCAGCTCCGTATACAAAGGCTTGTAAATACATTCCATAAATACTTTTAAAGACATATAGTTGAAGAATCCACCACACTCAAATACATAGAACTAGACATTTAGTGTTTTCTTCACCGCTAATATTATGTCCTTTACTTGAGGTATGCAGTTATCCTCCAAAATTTTTGCATAAGGCATAGGAACATCTGCCCCTGTGACACGGACGACAGGGGCATCCAAGTGGTTGAAAGCAGGACCTGGAAGCAGAAGAAGACAGCACAACTCATCTCAAGATAAAGAAGTTGGGTATACAGAGTGCTCCCTCTCCCTCAATGTCTGAATCAGCTTTGCATGATTCAGTCTAGACAGCTGAATGCCTAGTGAAGAAGGGACTGACAGCAGATCAAGTGTCCTGTCCCTAACAGTTTGAATTCTAATGAAGGCTACCCCTATTCTTCAAAAATATTGAACAGTCTCAAGAGTTCCTGTTTTAAAAGCTGCAGATGGGGTTGAGGAAATATTTCACATGGGCTAAAAACCTGTGGAATAGCCTACCCTATAATTTAGCACATAATTACTGAATTTCACAATAGTTTTAATTAAATTGTACAGCACCATAGGTAGAAGCTCTAAATAGTTCACAATTAAAAAAACACAATTCTTCTCTTTAAATAGGAGGACACTGGTGGCAGCAACACAGACAAAAAGCCTGTATCATAGCAAACTAAAAAAAAGTACTTAAAAGACCAAACCAGGGATGGGAATTGCATGGCCTTCTAGATGTTGGACCATAACTCCCAGCATTCTTCACGTTTTGGGCTGCTGGAGACATATGAAAAACCTTATGCTTCCTTCACATGATAAACACAAGAGATATGTAGCAAACTGATTTTTAAAACGGCAAATACAACATACCTTCCATAATCCTGGCACAGATTTCTGCTCCCACTCCAAATTGGGGCCAACCACCTTCCACTGTCACAAGATTGTTTGTCTTCATAACGCTGGCTTCAATAGTTTCAATATCCATTGGCCTAATGCTACGGAGGTTTATTACCTGTGGAAGAGATTTGATTACTCTTCAGATCATGTCCAGACAACAAACACAGGACCAAAATAGGATTCCTCCATCTTTTCCAAAGATCTGGGGGGGGGGAGGGGGGGGGGGGCAAATGGATGGAAATTGCCTCCCTTATTCTTATATGGATGAAATATCAACCTGCCTTCCAAAGCCCAGCTTTAATGGGACTGCACACTTGTAGTGCATCTACATGGGACAAATATCCCAGAGATGATCTGGAGTGGAGTACTCCAAACAGGCTTTGAGGTCCACACTAGTCACCTTCATGCTACTGCAGCAGCAAGATAAAGTCCATATCATCCAGTAGGGGCAAGCCAGTGGAAGGCCATCCTTACCTTCATTACTGCCCTGTTGCAACAGTAGCTACATGGCTCAAAAGAGCTCCTGGTTGTTCATCTCCTTTGCCAAAACTAGCAAAAGAGTCAGTGCAACACGGGAAAGTGGGGGGGGGGGGGGGGGGGGGGAGAGAGATCACCCCCTTCTCTCTCCAAGTAGTGCTGGAGCTTTTGGAAGCATCTGCAAGAGTGATTATTACCAGAATTTTTCTTTGAGCTCCGTGGCAGCAGCTATAATGGCAATAAAACAACAAAGTGTCATTCACGCCCCTGGAGAAAGCAAGGGTGGCTATGTGAACAGCAGTGGCCAGTTCTGAATTAGAACTGATCCAAACGTTCACACTGCACCGAAGTGCAAGGAAGCTCTGGAGTATTCCCTGATATTGCCTAATGCAATATTGGGGAATCGACTCTGTGTGCCATGTAGATTCTCCAGAACTCATCCAAGCCCTTTTCTTCCAATTAAGGTTGAAACGCTAAGTCATATGAACGACATGAATTTATAATGGCAAAGGTTAGGATCATGGAAGTAGGACTTAAAGCAAAGTCGCCATCTGCCTCAATTATGTATTAAATCAAAAGGACTATTAAATCTGCATGTTGTAATGCAATCATTGGAAAGAGAAAAAAGATTGATGATAGGCATCCCCATAATTTTAAAAAAGCATTCTTTCTTGGTGAGGCAATAAAGAGTTCCTATATAAAAATGGCACTCAACCAGCTATTTTTATGTGAAAGATAATTTTGGGGAAGCACTTTAAGAAATGTTTTATCAGATGGTGTGTGTCTGAGCGGCACATCATCTACTTCCAATGCAAAATCTCAGATACAATCCCTACCGCCTCAAACAGTGGCACTGAGAGACGCCAGCCATCTTGATGACTTAAGAAAAGCGGGCTTCAGATGTTCCATGAGCTGAACAATTAAAGGAAAACTAACACTACATACACAGGCAAGACGATTTCACTTTGGCACTCCAGAGCACTACTTCTTAAACTGGGTCCTGTCCCCAAATGGGGTCCCCTTTGCTCAGTGCTGGGGTCATGAGAAATTTGGAAGCCGTACATGATTTCTGAATGTCATCCATTTATACAAATCTGTTTGCAACAATGTGCTACATTTACAGTCGAGTGCAGAAAATGCTTCAGCTAGATTCCCTAAAAAGGAAAAGCAGCCTGTTTAGCGAGCCTTGCAAATGTTGATTTCTTCTCTGTAATAGTTTGATTTTCATTTTACATACCTATATAACCTGTAAAAATTTATCAGGTGAAAAGGCATCGCATGGAGAAAAAGTTTAAGAAGCTTTGCTCTAGCATTCCCTTCCCATTGATGGATCATGCAATGAAACTCAAACTGCTTCCTAAAGATTGGATTACAATTCTCTCAAACAACACACACCTCGCACTCCACTCCATCTTTGGCAAGGACTGCAGCTGCTTCCAGACAGTGGCCCACAGGTCGCGAATGAGACACTAAAGTAATGTGGGTTCCTGAAACACAGAGACTGATGAGGACTGCTGCACCATTTAGAAGGCATCTTCCCCATATTACCAACAGTAGTACCTAGCAGTTACCATCTTTAATCTTTTTGAAAAACTTAAAACATTAAAATGCATCGATCATTCCCTAAACAGTACTAACAGCTTTATTAATAGGTGTGTCTAATAATGCCATGACATTCAATAGAATCGAGTTTTTTACGTTGCCCACTGAATGTACAGTCTTTCGGACATTTAGCTTCCTTTTAACTGGCAAAATCTTTTCATCATGGACAAAAGGGTCAAACTGAAGATCTGTATATGTATTTACCTCATGGAAAATCTATCTCTTTTGGAAAATCAGAGCAATAGCAGAAATCTCTTTATGGTTATACTGCAGCATAGCAAAGACCTTTTCATAAACTAGCCAACAATAAAGGGTGAGCATGTGTAAATCAGCTGTTATTTTTTCACTTAACAATTTGCGTGCCTCTTTTAAAAATTCGTTATGTAAAGTTGTCTCATTTACTAAATGTGCCCCTAATGGTGTGTTATGTTCCATTTCTCTTAAGATTTTTGGTTTGTTATTTTTAGCCTTTATTGGTAAATATACAGCATATACAGTCATCTGGGACACTCTATGATCAACTTCTACTGGAAGCTGAGAGTTGCACTGGAGAACCTAGACATTCTTTGACCATATAACAGTGAGAATCTAGAGATTCCTAGAGAGGTGTTCTCTCAGGTTAAAAAAAGTTTTTCTTTAATTTGGATTTTTTCAATTTTCAAGGGGGTTCTGTACTCCTAATTCCAGCGGACGTGGAAGGCTGACTGAATAGTTACTTTGGTTGTTTATGTTCGTAGTCAAAACCAGTGTATGAGACAGAGGTTGCAAAGGAAACCCATGGCATACACCCCTCAAATATGGTAACGTCTCCAAAAGTCAATTTGATCACAGGATAGCAAAAGGAACAGACATCAAATTTAAAGACTGTCCTTTGGTTGGTGATAAGAACTAAAAATTATTTGTGAATAGAGTAGAACACTTTCATAAAGAATAATTCACTTCAAACAAAATTATTAGGACATGATAAGTACACATCAAGGAGGGATACAATACCTGAGATCTACAGAATTAATTATATTCAGAGAATCACAATTCTTTTGTGACATATTTTTATACAAAAAGGGAGTATGCGTGGACAGTTTCTCCAGCTGATCATGTAAACAGTGAAATACTGGACTACTTCAGCACGAAGAATTGTTTTTACTTACCTGGCCTTTCTATCTTAGCCTTTCCAATGGGAACAAGGAAGTCCTTTGATGTGGCTTCCTCAGACAGTTCAAAGGGCACTCCATACATTAACTCGTTTTCCAACATTACAACTACAAAGACAATTAAAAACATAGATTTGACCCGGCTGATGCTAGTTGTCTAATACAAGTCAAATGAATTGAATTTGCAGATGAAGACTCTTAGAACACTTCATAAGAAAAGGTCCCATATTCCTAGCTGTGGTTTTGTGAAGCCAAATCAATCTTCCCAAACCCCATACTTGCCAAACATTAGACTATAGCTCCTATTTATCTCCAGCCAATATGCCATGTTTAATTCAGCACAGAAGGTCAACCGGTTGGAGAAGACTGAGATAGACCCAGACAAGCCTCTGCTCATTATCTGATGAAGCATTATTAGGCAATAATGGCTCATACAGATTGGATTTGGGGTATATCAAATGCATTAGATGTGTACGGATTTTGAAACCCCAGAAGATAGATTTGCAACATTCAGGTGGAAATCAGGTGTTTTGTGAATTATTAATTCATTTGCTTCAGCTAATAAATTTCCTCATTCATTTGTATCAAAGGTAAACTGATAAAGGCATGAACTAACTGCATGAACAGTTGCAAACATAAGGTTTGGTAGGTCAAAGCAAAACAAAACAAAACAAAAAAAGAACACAAGACAGTAGCTAACACCTTATCATTATTTCACTCAGTCCTCTACTTCCTGGCTGTACTCCAATAACTGCACATGCCAAAGTCTTAGATATTATATTTTCTCCCAAGTCCCTTCCTGTCTGCAATTCTCTAAATACCATAATTGTGACTAAATCCACCAAAATGCATGCTAAGATTTTTATGTAATTTTGGAATATTTATTAAACTTGTGTAATTATAACTGGCAGGGATCCAAAGAATGGCTTAGACTTATGTAAGCAGCTCACACCTAAATTTAACACTTGAATTTACAAAATAGACAACACAAGACGTTTCTGACTGCAGAACTATTTCACAAATGCCCTTACAATCGTGGAACTACTTGCAAGACTGTTTAGATCTCATTTCTGCCAGGTAGTAATAACAGCTTTTTCACTTCACTTATATCCCTACCTTATCTGGGAGAAGAATTATAGTGCCTGGGACAGTGCCTACAAAGTGGACTGCCGCTCTCTAATACCACCTCAACTTACAATTGTTCAGCTCGTTATAATTAACGATTTAGAAGAGTTGCCATATAGATAATTTTGTTCATTTCCTGCATTTATAGACTACTTTCAGCATTTAATAGTCACTAAAGGAAGAAACAAAAATTGGCAATGTAAGCCTAAAACAATTTCAAGAACACATACAAAGTTGAGTCCATGAACCACAGGAGGTGAGAAAATTGAACACAACCGAAAAATAGCCCACTTAATCTAGTCTCTCCATGAAGAATCAAAAGTTTGTCCCTCCTTCTAGAGGGGAATGGGATTACTGAATATCATTTCAACTTTTCAGCCACGTCTGGGACACTCAGCACTTGTCTAGTGGGATAAGTACACTTTGTATTTGAAATACCAATGACTACAGTAAATACAATGCAAATACAACTCAAAAAGCCACCACAAGTACACAAATGGGGCCCTTCCACACAGCCATATAACCCAGAATATCAAGGCAGATAATCCACAATATCTGCTTTGAAGTGAGTTATCTGAGTCCACACTGCCATATAATCCAGTTCAAAGCAGATAAGGTGGGATTTTATACAGCTGTGTGGAAGGGGCCACAGTTTTCCTTGCTCTGTTCACCTGGATTATCATCCCGGATTGAGGATTTAAGGAGACCCTTTGCGTCTTCTGCACTCCACGGGCTGACTACTTTCAGTCCAGGGCAGTGTCCATACCAAGCGGCAAAACACTGGGAATGCTGGGCTGCGACCCCGGCTGATGCTCCATTCGGACCCCGGAAGACAATGGGGACAGGCACCAAACCAGCAGACATGTAGTAAGTTTTGGCTGCTGAGTTTATAATGTGATCAATAGCTTGCATGGAGAAGTTGAACGTCATGAATTCACAAACAGGTCTCAAGCCAGCCTGTTAACACAAAGAAGGCCAGTCAATATTGTGAAATAACTACACATTCTATCTCCAATCTGTCCCTCTGTTCAACTGTTTCTTCAATTCATGCTTCTTGGAGTAAGAATCCGTCATGCCTGTTCTTTCTAAGCTGCATATACACAGATGCTATTATGTTTATAAATAGTGGAATATTATCAATTCTTACTCATGGTTTTGAAAATTTAATAATAACATTCAGCAGTTAAAACATTATGTATGCAAAAACATATTTAGAAGGCACATACCATGGCAGCTCCGACCGCAATACCAGTAAACCCCATCTAGGAAGAAAGGAGGAAAGTGTAAGAAATACTGAAACTCTCATTTCAAAAACACTAGTGTAACTATTCAGAAGTAATTTTTTTAGGTTAAATATTTTTTAAATGAAAAAGTACATATATTCTGATTTCATACCTCTGATATAGGAGTATCTATGATTCTCTGATCACCATATTTCTTCCAAAGTCCTCTGCTAATCTGTAGGGAGAATTAAACTACAATTAAACATTCTATTATATATATATATATATATATAAAATGGGTTTCATTCTGTAGATTGTTTAATTTTTTGAAACAACATACACCTTTTGCTGGTCTTTTTGTATGTTTTTAGTCTGGATTTAGTAATTCGAAAATGATTTCAAATTCCATTACTGAAAAAAATCCAGGATATAAATGACTACACTAATAGCAATGAAAAGAAGGATGCCCTTCAAAATACTGTACTGACCGTCTTCTTACCTTGTATGCACCATCATACTGAGCAACTTCCTCCCCCAACAGGAAAACTTTTTCATCCCTTTCTATCTCCTCATCCAAAGCCTGGTTCAAAGCATCCCGGACAGTCACCTATAATTGATAGAAAATTTTAAAACAAGAACACAAGTCATTTACTTTACTATAATCCTACTCAGTTCTAGGAAGGAAGATATTTTAAAAGGCAGTTGACTTGGAAACGCCTAATGGAAAAAGTGAATAATTTGTGCCAATCCCACCACCAAAGGAGTATGAAGGATCAGTGCAGGGTTGCATGAAGTGTGGCCTTCCAGGTGTTGCTGACCTGAAACTTTGGGCAGTCTTCCCATTGGCTATGTGGGCTACATCTAACAGAGGTGAAAATCAACATCATCATAAGGAAGGCTGAGTTGAGGAAGATAGACACTTTTGAAATGTGGTGCTGGGAGGAAAATTCTGGGAGTGCCTTGGACCGCAAGAAAATCAAACCAGTCCATACTCCAGGAAATAATACCCGGCTGCTCACTGGAGGGAAGGATATTAGAGGCATGGATGAAGTACTTTGGCCACATCATGAAAAGACAGAAAAGCTTGGAGAAGACAGTGATGCTGGGGAAAATTGAAGGGAAAGGGAAGAGGGGCCGACCAAGGGCAAGATGGATGGATGGTATCCTTTAAGTGACTGGCTTGACCTTGAAGGAGCTGGGGGTAGCCACGGCCGACAGGGAGCTCTGGTGTGGGCTGGTCCATGAGGTCACAAAAAGTAAGAAGCGACTGAACGAATAAACAACAACTGAATACTTCACTTGCCACATTTTTGTGGGTATTCTCCCTTCTCTAGGAGGAATGCTCTACAAAAGGCCGAATTTATTACTGAGTATATGGATAAATCATAACGGTATTTCTTGCTCCAAATATAGCATTTCCGTAACGTACTATTAATCCAGCACGTCTCATTTTTGCACAGTACATATAATAATGGAAAACTTATTTTTAGTAAGCCATTTTAAATAAGATTTGAGCTCTCTAAAGTCCAAAAGCCTGGTCAAATGCTGCCCATGTTTGGAGGAGACACATTTTCCTTTTGTCAAACTGTCAGCAAAAGGGATAACAGGGGAATAAGACACAAACTTGTTATATATATACCATGACAGAAGTGACCAGAATATGAACAATATTAATTTACATTTCATCCTTTTATTTCCAAACAGCTGTGTTTTTCAGGTTGCTAAACTGTCCTGAAAAATCTGTTCTATCAGCTATATAACAAAATGTCAGGACTGTTTACTGGTTATGTCTTTGACTGATATGTGATGCTATTTTCTGTGATGTGTTTAATAATATTTAATATTTTATCAGGTCAAATTTGATGTTTTATACTATTTTTTAGCGAAGGCAGTGAATTGTTGCCAACACCGTGAACACGCACAGATAGATATCTACATAAAAACTCCAACCATCACCCAAGTCAAAAAAGAAGCACCATTAAAGCCTTGGCAGACCGTGCAAAAAGAATCTGCAAACCCCACCTCCTTCAAGATGAACTGAACCACCTCAACTGGGCTCTCCAGGCCAATGGATACTCCACCTCAGACATCAGAAGAACTGCAAGACTGAGAACAAGCCACGAGAATAAAGACGAAGATCCACCCAGAGGAAAAGTGTTCTTGCCATACATCAAGGGAAGCTGATGAGGAAAAACAGACCCACCAAGAAAATCCAACAAATGCTACGTTCAGCAAAGGATAAGAGGGATCCTCTCACTTCTGCAAGAGTCTACCATGTACCATGCAGCTGTGGACAAGTCTACATAGGGACCACCAAACGCAGCAGCAGCAGCGCCCAAACATGAATCAAGGAACATGAAAGGCACTGCAGACTCCTTCAACCAGAGAAGTCAGCCATAGCAGAGCACCTGAGGAACCAACCTGGACACAACATTTTATTTGAGCACACAGAAATGCTGGACCACTCTCACAACCACCATGTCAGACTACACAGAGAAGCCAATGAAATCCACAAGCATGTAGACAATTTCAACAGAAAGGAGGAAACCATGAAAATGAACAAAATCTGGCTACCAGTATTAAAAAAAACTCTAAATTTACAACAGCACAACAACCGAGAGGAAACAAACAAGGACATCTAATCACCTCTCAACAAAAGTTTGCTCTAGGCACTGTCAGGCCATTATATGCTAATCAAGGTGGTCAGTTGAAACATTCATACCTAGCTTCAGCGGACAAGAGTCCTTTGTCTCACCCTGGTCATTCCACAGATATATAAACCCTTTCCCTAGTTCCAACAGACCTCACTACCTCTGAGGATGCTTGCCATAGATGCAGGCGAAACGTCAGGAGAGAATGCCTCTAGACCATGGCCATATAGCCCGAAAAAACCTACAACAACCCAGTGATTCTGGCCATGAATCCAGTTGTTTCCAGTAAACTTATTTGGTTAACTTTAATCCTGTCTCAAGAGTCTTTATTTTAAAGAACTAAAATACATCAGAGGGTATGTGCCCTCCCTCACAAATAATCTGCTTCATTCCTATCTCACCCTGAGTTTTTAGTATTTTATCCTGTACATGTGGCCCGCTTAATGTCACTGGGATTGTGAATGACTTTTATTGTATTTTATATTGTTTACTGTATTCTCATGTTTTATGTATTTTACTGTGCTGTTGTTTTATGCCTTGATCTTATTTTATTTTATTGTAATGCGTTGTTGGGCTTGGCCTCATGTAAGCCACCCCGAGTCCCCATTGGGGAGATGGTGGTGGGGTATAAATAAAGATGATGATGATGATTATTATTATTACTACTACTACTACTATTATTAGCCATCCCCTGCCATGTGTTGCTGTGGCCCAGTCTGTGTATATGTGTTTTGTGTGTCTATATATTTGTGTATATACGTGTTTTTGCATATGTGCGTGTTTTTGCGCATACGTTCAGTCCCCACGAACTCCTCCCCCACAAATGTACCTTTTCATTGCTATCTCATCCAGAGTTTTACCATTTTGTCATGCATTTGGCCTGCCCATTGTGTTTGATTTTCCATTATGCTATTTTGTACTGGGTTGTTGTAGGTTTATTTTGTACTGTTTATTTAGTTGATTGGTTTATTTATTTTAACTGTGATGTTATTTTGTTGTTTATATTTTATGTTGCTGTAATGAATCATTGAGCTTGGCGAGTCCCCTTTGGGAAGATGGTGGCGGGGTATAAATAAAGTTTATTATTAATATTAATGTATTTTTTCTTTTTAAGTCTCTTCCACTGTGTTTTTCAGTGTTTTTATGACCGATGATCACTCGTTGGCCTGATAAGTGTCTTGTTTCCAAATTCGGTGTCAATTCATCCAGTGGTTTTTGAGTTATCCCACAAACGAACATTACATTTTTATTTATATAGATTCCGATAACCACTGGGGAATAGACAGACATATAGTTTTCCTTCAACCCCCGGCATGCCATCACAATATGTATTTCGCAGAGATACATTTTGGTATGCAACTTTTATGGAGGTACATTTTAGTTTGTGTAACTTGTAGTGTTTTTGCTGTGCTTGTGTATTTGAATTGTTTTGTAACCCGCCTCGAGTCATGAAGAGAGGCTGGCAAGAAATAAAATAATAATAATAATAATTGACCTGTATGGAGTGACATTTTATCTCAATAGGAAGGGAACTCAACACCAGGCATGGGCAAACTTGGGCCCTCCGGGTGTTTTGGACTCCAACTCCCACCATTCCTAACAGCCTACCGGCTGTTAGGAATGGTGGGAGTTGAAGTCCAAAACACCCGGAGGGCCCAAGTTTGCCTATGCCTGGTGTAGATGCACCCTCTGGCCGACCTCTAACTCCAAGCAGCTCCTTTTCCACGCCCCGTTTCCCTTTCGGACTCTCTCACACCCTCAGGGGCGCCCCTACCTGAACGGCGGCCGGCACAGAGCGATGAAACCCCCGCCGTGGGAGCCCCGAGAGCCGTCCTGCTCCCACTCGCAAAAGGCCTTTCAACGGCAACGCCGCTGCCGCCATCTTGAATTTGCCCTCAACCCCGCCGGCGCCCCGGCGTAACGCGTCACGGGCACGCCCGTCACCGTTGCCAAGCAACCAGGAGGTAGCACGAGAGCGAAGGGCGGGGGAGAAGAAAGCTATCCTACAACTCTCGCGAGATGCAATCGACGAGAGTGCAGTCTTATCCTTTCCTGATTCCTTCTATAGTCCTGCCTGATGATGAGAACAGCGTTTCCTATTTGCACAAACGGATAGAAGGGTACGGGCAGCTGAATGGGACAAGAAGGCTCAATGCGCGCTGGGTTTTCCTCCCTATTCTGAAAGATTACTAGGGAACTCTTAGCACTCAAGGAAAGGGGAGAATGAGAAAGTCTCTGGATATGGATTCATGCATAATATTTCATATTATATATACTACAACTTAAGATATGGTACAATATGTTATATAATACTAATAGCATAGCATGCTGGTATATTATATATTGTGGTATACTTGTGCAGGTACAACTGCACCAGGAGCTCTAATTTTGTTTGCTTTGCATTTAATGTTTGTTGTAGTCCTAATTTTCAGGGACTCTGCAGATAGGTGGCTTCTTTTGGCTGCAATCATAGGGCAAGCCACCTGTCAATTATATTTATTTATTTATTTACTTCATTTGTATACCGCCATTCTCAGCCCTAAGGCGACTCATAGCGGTTTACAACAAGCAAAAACAAGGCGAACAATCAAGGCAAAAATTCAATGCGGCATCAACAAGGTACTTAAAAACAGTTAACACAGAAACAAATTAAACAATTTAACAGTAATAAACATTCAGTGGCGTCTCATAACTAGAATCATGATCCAAACTCGTCAGTCGTAGTTCCATTTCCTGAAATTCATTGCACTGCTTATTCAAATGCCTGTTCAAATAACCAGGTTTTCACTTTCCTCCGGAATACCATCAATGAGGGGGCCGATCTGATGTCTATGGGTAGGGCATTCCACAGCCGAGGGGCCACCACCGAGAAGGCCCTGTCTCTCGTCCCCGTCAGCCATGCCTTATAGTTAGGTTCCCTGGTCCCGCCCCCTTTTTGGGTTTTAGAGGGAATAGGAGCCTTTTTGAGTTCAGTCCACACAGAGAAGCTTTCGATGCAGGACATAATACCAAGAGCTCCTGTAGAAAGCTTTGTCTTCTACGGCTTGGCCGGGGAGATATACAGTCCACAGCTTGGCTGGGGTTATACAGCCCTACAGCTTCTACAGCCATCAGCCATCACAGCCCTACAGCCATCACCAAAACCTGAACTCCTTTTCCCCTGGAAGTCTACAAAGCTCTGCTTGGTAAGGGTCACTCGCGGAAGCCAGAAGCAGTTGGTACCGGGTGCAGGGGCTCCACGCCATCAGAGGCAAGTACAGACTGGCCAGATTAGAAGTTAAGGATTTCCCCATTAGTTAGTATACAGTTATGAAGATAGTGCCTGTTCCCTGTGGACAAGATTGAGAGAGAGCCAATAGACTGTTAAGAAAGCCTTAAAGTACCTGTTTGTTTTCAATAATAAAGAACTTTGTTGAACCTTTAAGCAATCTAAAGACTCTGTTTTAAGGAAATCCAAAGGCCTTTAATCTGAGGCAGCCCCGGCATCCTGTTGGGCACACAGAATTTATGTCCTGTCTACAGTTTTATGCACAGGCCCAGCATGCAACAGCACAATACTCATATAGTACAATATAATATTTAATATTTGATTTACATATATTATTACAAATAATATTGGAGTATAGTGGTGTAGTACAATATAGTAATATATAATACTAATATTGTGCTATGCTAATAATATCTTATATTTACATATATTAATAATATAATGTAATACAATTTAATATTACTAATAATAAAATATAAATAATAGAATCATAGAGTTGGTAGAGACCTCATGGGCCATCCAGTCCAACCCCATTCTGCCAAGAAGCAGGAAAATGCATTCAAAGCACCCCCGACAGATGGCCATCCAGCCTCTGTTTAAAAGCCTCCAAAGAAGGAGCCTCCACCACACTCCGGGGCAGAGAGTTCCACTGCTGAACAGCTCTCACAGTCAGGAAGTTCTTCCTAATGTTCAGGTGGAATCTCCTTTCTTGTAGTTTGAAGCCATTGTTCCGCATCCTAGTCTCCAGGGCAGCAGAAAACAAGCTTGCTCCCTCCTCCCCATGACTTCCCCTCACATATTTATGCATGGTCCTCATCATGTCTCCTCTCACCCTTCTCTTCTTCAGGCTAAACATGCCCAGCTCTTTAAGCCACTCCTCATAGGACTTGTTGTCCAGACCCTTGATCATTTTAGTCGCTCTCTTCTGAATACATTTCAGCCTGTTAATATCTCTCTTCAATTGTAGTGCCCAAATAATAATATTGTAATATAGTAATACTAATATATTAAATGGAGCCTCGGTGGTGTAGCAGGTTAAACCGCTGAGCTGCTGAACTTGCTGAATGAAAGGTCGGCAGTTTGAATACAGGGAGCAGGGTGAGCTCCCATTGTTAGGCCCAGCTTCTACCAACCTAGCAGTTTGAAAATATGCAAATGTGAGTAGATCAATACATACCACTCTGTCAGGAAGATAAAAGCTCTCCATGCAGTCATGCTGGCCACATGCTGGCCACACTTCCAAGGATGTTTTATTTCCCTGTCTGGATAAACCCAACATGTCAAGCTGGTGGAAGGAATGATCAACTTTCTTCCTTAACCTTCTGTTTTAAACCACTACCACTCCCTTATTTTCCACGAACCCGTTCAAAACACCATAAGGAGGAAAAATAAATAGGAGGGAAATAGCCATGTTTTGAAAGTATTGCCATGAATGGTGTTCAGTCATCTGGAGACACCATAATAAGAGGCTATATATGAATCTAGAAGACAGAATTTTTCTTGAAGAACCCTGACTAACCTGCTGACGAAGGCCCACCTACACTGCACTTTAGCAGCATTTAATTAGTTATATGGCAGTGTAGATTCATACAATGCAATTGACCTGCATTTTATAACAGTACAGGTTGGGCCACTGTCATTAAGAATATTCTAAAGATTAGGACTATCCAGGAAAACACATCAAATGTGTTTTTTCATTTAAATATTTGTAGATCATTTATCATCCAGACAGTGATACATCCAAAGTGTTCACAAACTGCATAAATTAATATATTACTACGAAGAGAACTTATTGCTTATCTCTAGTCATGCACACGGTTTTCACTGGGGTTACCTTTCGAGTGGCAAATCTTCCATCTCAATTCCAAACAAGCCCTCTCCAGCAATTACATGCTGTAAAGGTTTCAAAAGAGACACAGTTAGAATTGCCAATTACCTGGGTCAGAAAGGTTAATTCATGAATAATTTGTCATATCTGCTCAGAAAGACTCATTCAGCCGAGGAAAGACAAAATGGTATGTTTGCTCATTCTTTGCAGAGCTTAACCCACCCCATTCTTGGGTGCATCTACATATTAGAACTTTTTGTGTGTGTCAGGAGTGACTTGAGAAACTGCAAGTCGCTTCTGATGTGAGAGAATTGACCGCCTGCAAGGACGTTGCCCAGGGGAAGCCTTGATGTTTTACCATCTTTGTGGGAGGCTTTTCTCATGTCCCTGCATGGGGAGCTGGAGCTGACAGAGGGAGCTCAACCCACTCTCCCCGGATTTGAACTGCTGACCTGTCGGTCATCAGTCCTGACAACATAAGGGTATAAATAATCCCTGAAGAAGGAGCCTCCACCACACTCCGGGGCAGAGAGTTCCACTGCTGAATGGCTCTCACAGTCAGGAAGTTCTTCCTCATGTTCAGATGGAATCTCCTCTCTTGCAATCTGAAGCCATTGTTTCGTGTCCTAGTCTCCAGGGAAGCCGAAAACAAGCTTGCTCCCTCCTCCCTGTGACTTCCCCTCACATATTTATACATGGCTATCATATCTTCTCTCAGCCTTCTCTTCTTCAGGCTAAACATGCCCAGCTCCTTAAGCCGCTCCTCATAGGGCTTGTTCTCCAGACCCTTGATCATTTTAGTCACCCTCCTCTGGACACATTCCAGTTTGTCAATATCTCTCTTCAATTGTGGTGCAGTATTCCAGGTGTGGTCTAACCAAGTATTCCAGGTGTGGTCTAACCAAAGCGGAATAGAGGGGTAGCATTACTTCTCTTGATCTAGACACTATGCTCCTATTGATGCAGGCCAAAATCCCATTGGCTTTTTTTGCCACCACATCGCATTGTTGGCTCAAGTTTAACTTGTTGTCCACGAGGACTCCAAGATCTTTTTCACACGTACTACTCTGAAGCCAGGCATTGTCCCCCATTCTGTATCTTTGCATTTCGTTTTTCCTGCCAAAGTGGAGTATCTTGCATTTGTCACTGTTGAACTTAATTTTGTTAGTTTTGGCCCATCTCTAACAAAATGAAGTTCAACAGTGACAAATGATGTCAAACCAACACTTTGATGGCACTGCTACATTATGTTGTTGTTGTTGTTGTTGTTGTTGTTGTTGTTGTGTGCCTTTCTAGTTGTTTCTAACTTATGGCACCCTCATGGCAAACCTACTGCAGTGTTGTTTTTTTTAGCTGAGGGTATGTGACTTGCCCAAGGTCACCCAGTGGGTTTTCATGGCCAAGCAGGATTCATAATCAAATGCTCAACCCCTTGCTGGCTCTTGCTGTAGGGCAGGTATGGGCAAACTTCAGCCCTCCAGGTGTTTTGAACTTGAACTCCCACAATTCTTATCGGCTATTAGAAATTGTGCGAGTTGAAGTCCAAAACACCTGAAGGGCTATAGTTTGCCCATGCCTGCTATATTTATTTATTTATTTACGATATTTATATACTGCCTTTCTCAGCCTGAGGGCAACTCAGGGCGGTTAACAATTGGCAACAATTCAATGCCACAACAATTATAATATTTAAAAACAACCATAAAATAGCATTAAAACATTTAACATACAATATAAGAGTTTTAAAATATTAAAATTATTTTAAAAAGAAGTACAAGCCTTAAAAACATTATGGTGAGGGCTTACAATAGCTAAGAAAGGTAGTTACTCAATTTATAT